TAACTCAGACACTTATTAGCTGTGTGACCCTGGGCAAGTCACTTAACCCTCTTTGCCTCAATTTCCTCATCTGTCAAATGAGATAAAGAAAGACATGGCAAACCACTGTAGTATCTCTACCAAGAAAACCCTAAATAGGGTCGAGGAAGAGTTGGACATGACTGAAAAACTACTGAACAACAACAAACATTGGTTTGTTCCAAATATATACTGCTAGTTCCCTTTGGCAAGCATACTGCCTTGTAAAGGGATGTCTTCCCTAGCTGTCCATAACTGCCTTACTCAGGAATACTCCCTTAACCTGATTTTTGTGAAGGAACAAAACAAAACATTAACTTAAACAAGTATCACAACCTCCAAGAAAGACTATTTCACCTCTTCCTGACAAAATTCATTTCCATCAGTCAATAATCAATCAATAAACATTTATTAAGCACCTATTATGTGCCAGGTTTTTTGCTGAGCACTGACTATTCAAAGAAAGGCAAAAGACAGTCCCTACTCTCAAGGTATTCATAGCTAAATGAGAGAGACAACATGCAAACAACCATGTCCCAAACAACCTATAAACAAGTTATTATTCATACCTCACAAAGACAGATATACATAAAGGGCATTTATTAGGCACTATTTGCCAGGCTGGTGCTGTGAGCTAGAAATACAAACACAAGCAAGCAAGAAAGTCCTTGCCCTCAGGGAGCTTACATTCAAATACCCACTTGGAAAGGAGTTGAGAGGAGCTATACTGCCTAGCAGGGTCAAGGTGGAGGCCATAAGTATAAATTCATCTCTTCCTTTCCAGACAACAGTAAAGTTGCAAACTTACCAGCTCTACATTCACAATGTAACTTTCATATATTTGGTTACCCTTTCTAAACTGAGTAATTGCCTTCTCTTACTCAGAATAATCTAATGACCTGACCAATGCAATGCTGAATTTCAACAGCATCTTCTGCTATTTAAACTGAGGCATATTTCTTTTCTAAAAGAGAAAATGCAATTAAGCCTTAATGGGTAAATATGCTGTTAATTGACAAATAAGACTAATTTGTATTTTTCCTCAACATCTTATTATTAGTTTACTTGAATTCAAAAATAAATTAAGCTCAATTCAACAAGCATTTATAAACACCTGCTAAACAGGCAGAGTGCTAGGCCAAGAGGATATACAGACAAAAAAAAATAAAGTTTCAGCCCTCAAGGAGCTTACTTCCCACTGGGGGAAAACAGCAGGCATACATATAAGTAAATACAAAAGATATGCATAATAAAAACAAAGTAATGGGGGGAAGTGAAATCAAAGTGGGGGAAGGGATCAGAAAGGGCCTTTTGTAAGAGGAAGCCCTAGAGCTGAGCCTTAAAGGAAACTAGGTGTCCCAAGAGGCAGAGTTGAGAAAGGAGAGCTTTCCTAGCTAGGGGCCCACTTGTGTTCAAAGGCATGAAGGCAGGAGATGAAGGTTATTGTATGGGGAACAAATTGAACAAGGTAACATTAGAATTTATTTTTTGTCAAGTCAAAAAAATAACAAGGCCCAAATTTAAAGGAATAAATGGTGATATGATTTAACTTTCCTTTTGTGGGTAAGCCATTCCCTTAAACTGACTACTACAATAACAACTTTAGAAAAGAACTATAGTGAGAAAAAGGGTTAGGGATGAGGGAGAATTTAGGTAGACTCTAGTAACCAATGAATCCAGTTCATTTCCTTCAGTTTGTGAAAACAAGCAACTGACATATTTCCTGCCAATGAACACACTTTCAGATAAGAAGTCTCCCAACAGGAAATCCTTTGCTAGAAGAGAACACTTGGGCCATTAAAGTCTGAGTTCTTCACTCAATTCCAAATCAGTTAAAATCTGAATTACTAGGACTGCCAAGTATTTGCCAAATCACAAAAGCTCTCCTATATATGTTACATAGCTACAGAATATTAGGTAAACCCAGTAAACATTTATGTTGGGGTTCTTTTACTACAAATATAATTAAGTGATTAAAACAAAGGGCATTTGCTAGTGAACACAAACGGTGATTTTAGAGAGATGTCAAACTGAGTACTTAAGAGAGAACATTAAAAGCCCATATAATACCATTGTTTGGATGGGGAAATACTTCTGAGAGAATATAAAGAAATGAAAGACTTCCAAAGAAAACATATACTTAAAACGTTAACAAGAGCCATAAGGGATGAAGAAATCTGGTCTGATCAGATTCAGAAGTTTAAAACTGGGAAACTCAAAGCCAATTTTTTTAAAGAGACCTTTACCCTTCTGCCAAATACCAAGCCAACAGCTGTCCAGTTAAGAGGGGTCCTCTCCAGTCAGTGTGGCTTCGGTGTCATTTTTACCCTAAAATATGTGGGAACACTGCAATTTTCTCAAAAGATAAAGCACCCTTCCTCATTCACAAAGGCTGGGGAGAGGAACTTTTCAAAAGCTAACCCAATAAATACATACATAGATATGCACACTGAGACAAATGATGTGAACAGTGTTGAATCAGTTCCTGTTTGCAATCCAAGGTTTGCTGAAATACAACTTTTTCTACAGCTAGTTGCTGCTGGAGTACACTGCTATCTCTGAAGCCTCCTCTTAGAGAGCTCCAGTCCCAGCAAGTCGTTCTTCCCAGGCTGCTTTCAAGCAAAATTCCTAAATGCCCACAGCTCATTTTTCCCCCACTTCAAATGCTTTAGCTTAACTTTGAACATACTCCAGTAAATAGTAAAACTTCATTAAGATATATATATTCTCCCCACAGGTAAAAAAGCCCAACCTTGACTGCCCTGAAAAGCCTTTCTAAGAGAAGTACTGGTCTTTGGAGCTAAGTACAAGAAGCATCTCAATTACACTGTCTCCAGTGTAATTTCCTTTTGAGCCTTCCTTTAGAGCTAGAAAATGCGAAGTAAGCACATTAGTTTTCTTAAGTCTCTGCTCTTTGCATATTCTCCTAATTGGAAAAAAAAAGATACGGTTATGAAATACAGGAGACTTAAGAGTTTTGTTGAAAAATGACCTTGATTTGACAGGCACGATCTCAGGTTTCAACAGATGCTGTGGGAATCTCACAGAAGCCAACATGTTCTGCAGGCATTTGTGATGACATGCAGGGTTTTTTTTTTTTTTTTCTAAGTGGGGGGGGGTGGGGGGAGGTGGTGTGGAGAAGACGAGATGGTTAGTCTTCTCAGTTTCCATGGCAACCCCGTCTCCACTCTTCGGTTATTAGATACCATCCACTTCCTGTCTCTAAAATTTTAAGCCAATCAGAAAAGTGTTTATACATTTAACACAACTTACAGGATAGTGCCTCTTTAATAACCGAGGTGCTTTTAAAGGCACGGGAGACTTCCAATGTAAATTTCCAAGGGTCTTATAGCTTGCCGTTTAAAAAGTGAAGGAGAATGTTTCACAATATTTACTAGTCTACATATGAGTCACTGTGAAGGAAACCTTTTTTTTTTCCTGTGAAATCCATTCTGTCCATTCTCATACCAGATGCTACAATTCCTTTAATGGTGAGCAACCTAATTTTCATTGTTTGCTCTTTTACTTTTTTTTTTTTAACCAACAGTCGTAAATTTAGTGCATGAAACATGGTGGTGCTCAGACCACCAGAACTATCAAATAATGAGTTAAACTTAAATCTGCTAATGGCAATATATACTTAGATTTTTTTTTTAATATGGGGAGAGGAATAAAAAAAATGGTTAAAATCCTCTACAATTTAAAACTTACAATAAGGAAGAAAAAGTGAGAATTACTTAGGCTAGTATGTTTATAAGGATATGCCAGCAGGATACTGTTGCTGTAGCATTTGCCACTAGAATGGCCTGTTTTATCCTGGGGGAAAAATGCAGATTTTTAAAATCAATAATTTTAAAAAAACGACTCAGACAATTTACACCTAATTTCAAAAATCAATCTTGCACTACTGTTTGCCCTTGCAAGAAAAGTCACCTGAAATTAGATAAAGGTTTTGTTTTTGTGTTTTAAGTGTACTCTGACAGGTTTCACAAGAGTCAGTCTTAATACACCCGATCACTTTTACTAAGGAAAAAGTAGGGCTTCAGCCCTTTGGTCAGACTTTCTCCATGTGCATTCTCTGGGCTGGGGTCCCTCAGTGAGGCAAAGCTGGCGATCAATGAAGACGGGAACAAAAGGAATACAACAGGATGTCTGCCCAAGCTTAGGAAAATGATTATTTTTCCTCGTCCACCAATTGGAAGCACACTGTATATGACAGGCTCCACATGGGAGCTTCCAACACACCAGCCCTTTCAGATTAGATACGTTTTTACATTATTATAATCTCCCAACCCAACTGCTTTCCAATGCTGCCCCCTCCCCCCCAAAAAAATCCCGCAACCTGCCTTTTGAGTGCTTCTAAAGGACAGCCTCAATTGAAACGGATAAGATGGGAGAAAAAAAAGAAGAAAAGAAACCCACCATTTAAACCTGCTAAGAATCAGGCTTCCCTTCTTCGAATATCATTTTCGAAGCATAAAGCAAAACATGCTTCTCAGCTTCCAATAACCCTAATGGTTTTTGCCTTGGAACAATGTGCGTTGCAGAGAGAGAAATGTTTTTATTCCCCTTTCGTCTAAACTCTCCTCCGGGCACGTCCTATCAAGGTCTGCCAAGCCCCCGGCGTTCGAAAGGCTGGTCTAAACTGTCCACAGATTTGACACTCTGTTTATAACAACAATAAAGCAGCTGGAACCACAGCCCTGTCAACTCCGCCGAACTGCACATTTCACATGTGAGTTCCAACGCCATAAAAGTAACATCTGGAGAACATCTCCACGTCCAGCAAATCATTAAATATCACCATATCAAGGATTTCACTGAGTCACTTAAAGATTTTTCTCTCCTGGCAGATGCCACGGAAATGAAATGAACAAAATAAAAATGACGACGCTGACCCTCACAAATGCTTGGGGGGGAAACTTTTTTTTTAAACAAGTGAACTTAAGTTTTAAGATGAAACTATTTTTTTTTAAAGTTACCTTGATCCTGTCTGGGGCTTTTCTATTTTCACTGCATGCTGTAAATCAATGCGAAAACCAGGTGGACATTTTTTAAGAGGGGCAAAAAAACTCCTTTTGAAAAAAAAAAAAAAGAAAAGAAAAATTAAAGTTTGCAGGATATTTTTTTTTGCAATATTATTATTTTTTTTAACGCAGCTGCCTCTACATTTTATAGGCTCCTAATGACAATGCTAAACCCCGAGCTGGAGATTAAGAGGCAGGAAATGGAAACCATTTTAGTTACCTTTTATCTTCTGTCCCCCCTGCTGGGGCTCCCCTCGGCCCAGGCTGACGTTCCAGTTGGGTTAGAGTCTCCCGCTTAATCCTTTCATTCTGGTTCGGCTCAATATTCAGAACGCTGCCTGCGAGCGGATCTCGGCCGTAGCCCAGGCTCCATGCTCCCGGGGCTATGGTGGTGTCAGAGGGACTGCTGAAACCCCGAGAACTACCCAAACTCCTGCTGGGTCCTAGTGCTCATCACGCCCTCTCCCCAACACCCGGGCCCCACGAGAGGAGGTGGCCGCTGCCCAGTTTTCCATTCGGAGCTGGTGAACACACAGCTAACCAGCTAGCCCTGGGTTTGTTTTGTTTTGTTTTGTTTTCTGATGGAAAACGTCCTTGTGCCCACGACTAGGGCCTCTGGGTCTCTTACCCATGAAACTGGGGGGTGAAGGAGAAGGGTCGTGGGCAAAGACGCCAAAAGAGAGAGAGAAAAAAAGGTGAAATGCAACTGAACAATTGAGAAAGTAAGACTTTTAATGTTTTCAATTCTCAGGAACCTCCTGGGCCCGGCAGTAACGGGAATAAACAAGGTTTGTGGTCCCCAAGATGCATATTATGCATTCGCGTGCATAAAGTACAGTAAATCATAGAAGACATAAGGAAAATGTAGATTTTTTTTAAAAGCAGACCAGAATGGCGAAGTTCTTTTTTTTTAACAGCCTTTTAAAGTTCTCCAATTAATTCCTCCCACCATCCCCCACCAACTCTTTTGCATCTTCTTTTCCCTGAATCTTAGATATGATAAGGATCAGCAAGGAGTGAAAGACGGAAAAACTTGGGTTTAACTTCAGCCTTGACCATTAGCAAGCTGCTTAACGTCTCAGAGCCCTATGCAACTCTCTGACTATAAAATTACAAATGAGTTGTTAATCTGCACTGGTGGAGTGGGTTTCCAAGGCAGAGACTGCCCTACGCTGTTAAAATGACAGGGTAAAAAAACTCATTAAGATAAAATGTGGATATGGATTTTGGAGATGAAGAATGTGGGTTCAAATCTCATCTCTGTGTTATCTTAAATCATTTCACTTCTCTGGGACTCAGTTTCTTTAACTGTACAAATGAAGCGTTTGGACAAGAAGATATCTATCCTAGCTCTAAATGAATGATTTTAAAAAACAAACATCATTCCCTGGGTACTTACGTGTAAAGTTCTGTGCTAGGCATTATGTATAGACAAAGAAAATCATCCTGCTCTCCAGGTGTTTATAATTATATGGGAGGAATAAGACATGCACTTAAGTAATTACAGTACATATTGGAATGAGTGTTATAGGAGTAGTTTTAAAAGTGGGAGGTCAGAAGAGCAAGAAATCACTTTGGGCTGCAAAGGTGGAGAAGGTTGCATGTCCAAACATGCAGGTTTTTTTTTACTTTCATAAAACCTCAAAAATCTCATCAAGCCATTCACACATATAAATGTCTAGAAGAAATAAAAATAAGGGAATTAGTGCTGAGATATAGATTGCCTTGGAATTAAGATCTGATTAGTATTTAAGACACCTGTGAAAATTTACTAGGTAACAAATTGGAATTACTCATCCTTGAGCAAATCACTTCCCCGCTCTCAGCCTCAGTTTCCTCAAAAGTGCAACTAAGGGGTTGAACTAGATGATATCTAAATTAACCTAGAAGTTCAAACATTCTATTCAATTTGCGTTCATTTAATTCAACAGATTCTTATAAAGCACCTGCTGTCTGCAAAGCCCTGGGGATATATTTTTTAAAAGATAACCTTGAGAAGGTAATGTGTACAAATCTTAAAGTCTTCTATAAGTGTAAACTATTATCAGGGGTGTGCTGGTAGATGTTTAACAATAGTCTGAGGGGAGGGAAAGGCAAGACACACTTTTAAGTTTACTCAGCATTATTAGCACTTCTTAAGTCTAGGGTCAGAATCAACAAATAAAGTCTTACAAGCCCAGATCTGTAGCATTGGCAGATTTCTGTATAAATACTCACACTGAAAATTTGACTATCAGCTAGCCAGCCAGAGCTAGCTAATTATTATTGTTTCCCTTAAAGGAACTTGCAGTCTATTAGGGGAAATGACATCTTACCAAAATAAATATGCTATGATGTAGAATGTGATAAGGGCAAAAGAGAGATCCAGACAAAAATACCCTAAAGAAAAGTGAAAGCAAAATCATTTTCAGCTGAGGCAAAACTTGATTGAAAAGATAGCCCCTGAGGCAGACCTTGCAAATTTCCATGGGGAGGATTATGGAGAAGGTGGGAGCATGTTCTACATATGGAGAAGAGAAAGGTGGGTCAGAAAAGGAGAAGGAGAGCCTATATGCATGCTCAAAAGGAGAACCATAATTAACATAAGGTAAATATTTCATCACCTGTGTGATCTTGGGCAAGTCTCAAACTCTGTGGTCCAATTTCCTCAACTATGAAATGCAGTGATGGGATTTGATGGACATCTGAGTTTCCTTACAGATCTTGGTCTATGACACTATGACAACCCTAAATCTATGTTCTATGACCTTGGATCAACATGTTTAGTCACTGCAGGCCACAAGAAAGGTAAATTTTGAATTCCCAAGTGATAGTATAGCAGATAGTGACTCTTCAGACCAGCTCTTAACCTGCTATCTGCTGATTGATTTCAAGGGGTGTGTGAACTTGGATGGGGGTGGGGGTGGGGGGAATACACACACACACACACACACACACACAATACACATACATAGATATACATATACATACATATGCATGTATTTATGTGGTACACACATATATATTATATATCTTTATTTTCACTAATCTTGAACTGAAATTTTGCATATCCTTGAATTATTAATATAGGCAACAAATCACAGTAGTATTAGGCTTCATCTTACTGCCGAAGGGGCACATGGCACAAAATTCTACTGGACTTTAAGTCAAGTTCAGTGTTGTTAGTTTAAGAGATCATAGGAACTTAAAATGATCAGAAGAACCTGATTCCAGTGCTGGCCTTTAGTTGTTCAGTTGTGTCCAACTCTTCATAACCCTACCTGGGATTTTCTTGGCAAAGATACTACAGTGGTTTGCCATTTACTTCTCTAGTGAATTAAGGCCAACAGGGTTAAATGATATGCCCAGGGTCACACAGCTAATAAGTATCCGAGGCCACATTTGAACTCAGGTCCTCATTCCTTATTACTAAGCCACCTAGCTGCTCCCTGGTGCTGGCCTTATCTTTTCCTAAATAATCCTTGTTTGGGTAAGTCACTCCCACTGCACTGAGCCTGTTTCCTCATCTGTTAAAAGGAGGTGGGGCGGGGGGAATGAAAGAAAATACTTGCCCTATCTACTTCACTAGGTTGTTGTGAGAAATATATATGTGACAAAGCTCTATAAACTGTAAATGTTACACAAATTGAGTGTTGTCTATTAAAAAAAAAAAAAGACACTGCTGCCTTATGCCCACTAAAGAGACAATCCTACCTTTCATGTGTACTTCCTGTGTGACCCGAGGCAAGCCATTTAACCTCTTTGGGCCTTAGTTTCTTCATATGTAAAAATAAAGGATTTAGCTAGATGATCTCTAAGACTTTCCAGGAATCTCTAAAATCTATGATGCTACTTTACAAAGTAGAGATATGAATCTGAAATACTAAAACTCAGAGTAAGTTTCCTCAGCTAAGATGATCATCGTCTACAAATTTTTGAAGTCTTTTGCCAGAATGGAGATATATAATAACTGCTTGTTGTTGTTGTTGTTGCCTTAAACCAATATCCCTCTCAGCTTTTTTCTCCAATTGGTTAATGAGAAAGATGCTCTGAGGTTGAGACCTACACAGGGAAGCTGTCCAAATCTGCCTCCAGTCTTGTGATAGAAAGCAGGAAATCTCCACTGGAGGAGAGAGGTTTTCACTGTCAGCGTGTGCCTTTTCCCCCTTTATCAAAGGCCAAGAATTGGCCTTTACTTTACAAACTCCAGGGGTGACCTTTTCTCTAGAAAGATGATGTTGGCTACACGGTGACTGCATTCTCCTAAGGTTTAACAAATACTTAAACCACAAGGCTTCCTGACACAGGATGACCAACTAGGCAGTTTCTGACATGGATAGTACAGTGCTTCACTACCCAAGCTTGGTGTGTATCAAGGGCTTCTGGAGATCACATTTCTGAATGCCTCTAGGGAAGGCGAGTCAGGCTGCGCATCTCATACTGGGTGCACCCATGGGAAAATCACCAATGAATTCTGTTTGTGGTAGTCCACTTCCTCCTCCCCTGCACGGTCAAGGAAATACTGAGAGACTGATACTGAGTCCCAACAGTCATCTGCCACCCTCAACTGCTTCCCCCTCCCCCACAAAAAAGCATTGAGATGAATTATCTTAGCTGCAGCTAATGGAAAAGCCACAGAGGTAGCCTTAATTCTCCTTGAAAAGTTAAGACTGTGACACCTGAGCCACAGAAAGGAATCTTGGATCAAAGGGGCCCCAGACATAGCTATGGGGCACATCAAAGTAGAGAGGGAGGAGACATCTTTTTCCCTATTCCACAGTGTCGCTGGGTATATGAGCTGTCAATCAACACCAGCAATGGTTTTAATTGGTAGGGGAGAAGAAAGAAGAGAGTGATTGAATGTTCTTTTATTTTTTCAATTTCTTTTTGCTTTTTGAATGAATGAATAAAGCATTTATTAAGTTCTTACTAAGTGCAAAGCACTTTATTTGGGTCCAGATGTGATTTGGCTTGGGTGAAAATCTCAGTGTGGAAACTCCCTCCATTGATATAGATCAGAGACACCTCAGTAACAAATATTGTTGGCTGGGGCACTAAGTAGTTAAGGGACCTACCCAGGATCTCATAACTGGTATATGTCAGAGGTAGGACTTTGGATCATAGAATCATAGGTAGAGACACCTTAGAAGGTCATTTAGTCCAACCCTCTCATTTAGATGAGAAAGCTTGGGCCCAGAAAGGTGACACCTCACCCAAGATCACACAAGATGCCAAGTTCAAACCCAGGCCCCCTTATGACAAACCCAACATTCCCTCCACTGTATCATATGCCTTAGTTCTTCATAAATATTGAATCCAGGTGTTTCTGACTGTAAGAACAATACTTTTTCCTCTTCACCATGCTGGCTCTCACTATTCTACTCCTAACTTCAGGGAATAATTAAGGGCTGTGCCCAGGGGAGAATTCTCCCTGAATCTTC